AAAGGCATTTGGAACAAGAAGAGACCTAGAATAACAACAGCAATTCTGTCCAATAAGGGCAAGTCAGATGTCATCACAACCTTAGACCTCAAGTTATATCAGAAAGATACTGTCAAAATATTTTTTTTAAAAAAACAACATGATATTTGGTGGGGAAAACAGACTTGTGGATCAGTCAAACGGAATAAGGGATCCAGGCACACTCAGCTACCTTGTCTTTAACAAAAGTGTCAACTACTTTTGCTGGAAGAAAGGTCGTGCGGGGAAAATTGGCTTTCCCCATGCTGAAGCCTGAGCTCATACCCGTTGCCATGTACTACACTAAAGACAAAATGGGTGAAATATCTCAACATTAGAACAGAAGTGATCTGCTAGAAGATAAAATAGATATGAGCAGAATAATGTTTTTTAAGCTATTATTTTCTTGAATATTGACTGCTCTATTATTGCCCCTTCTTCCTGTGGAACTTCTCTTATGCTTATCTTCATTGTTTAAAGATTTCTCACATTTCTTTGAGAGTCTATACATTTTTTAATCTTATTTTCCCCTGTTCTTAAGATTCCATTTTCTCTACTTATGTAACTTTAAATTCACTAACTCTTCTTGCTGTTCAAATCACTGTTGAGCCCCCTCTGTCAAAGGGAATTGATGTTTTTGTTGTGTTTTTCAACTCCAAGTTTTCATTTGGTTCTGTATTATACTTTTATTTCCTTTTTTTTCTTTTTTGTATTTAGGATGGTGTGTACAGGGTGTACAAGGTCTAACTGCATAGTTTAGACTCGTAGTGGTGCTCCTGTTCACAGCCTCCCAAGTGCTGGGATTATAGGAGTGCACTACCATGCCCAGTCTCAATTGCCATCTCAGTGTGCCCCAAGGGCAGGGCAGGCACAGCAGGCCTGGGGATCATACCCTGGCCCCATGCCTGCTTGCAGGTACTTTAATCCACTGAGCCATTTGGCCAGCCCCTTTTATTTCCTTTTTAATAATCTCTATTTGATGAGTCTCTGTCTTCTCATCTGTAAGCATGGTTTCCTTTAGTTCTGTGGGCATATTTTTAATAATTACCTTGAAATCTTTCACCATTAAATCTGATATCTGGGCCTTCTCACAGGTAGCTTCTCCTTCATACCTGTTCTTCTGTGTAAGAACCACACTTTCCTGCTTCTTTTCCTATTTTTTGTTGAAGATGACAGTTTGTATAATGTAGCAAATCTGGTTACGATTCCCTCCCTTCCTTTTAAAACTTGTACTTGCTGCTTGTGGTATTTGTTTGGTAACCTTTGTAGGCCATTTTAACACAGTTTATCTTTCTTCATACTGTGAAACCCTGGTATTCTCCTTAACAAACTTGACATGAAGCAATGTACAGTCTCCCTAGCATGGTAATGATTCAAGTCAGACCTTTGGTCATGTGTGGACTGCATTTCCCTTACTTCCTCTGCTAAGTTACTGAACTTCTTTGATGCTCAACTAGGTACCGTATTTGGCTTCACTGTTCACTGATTAATGGCAAGTTTCTCCTCTCTTTATCCTCTCTCTCTGTCTCTCTCTGTCTCTCTCTGTCTCTCTCTGTCTCTCTCT